ACACCGAGAACATCTCGCACACGTTGGATGAAATTTGTATCCACCTGCCTTAAATAAATTACATCAGTGCGTTACTAAATTATATGAGCAACCATAAATTTGCTCATAAGAGAGGGACTTAAGGAGCTAATACGTCTAGAGAATCCAGTGGGAGTCAGCATCTTAGAAAAAACAGCCTTAAACAACCAAATCCGTTCTATGCAAGAATGGTCAAGTGTGATTGTATCCAGTTGGAAGAGATAAGAGGTGGGAACGACAACGAGAATCAGTAAACAGACTGGTAGACGGTCTACAAACAACTGTATGATAGTGTAGACAGATAACGTAAGAAAATTACGCCACTGATACGAAAAAAAGATTTTGAAGGGAAATTTTTTACTCTTCTTCATGCAACCCGAACATTAATTATAGAAACAATGTAAAGTGTCATACCTGCAAGACTTTCCCAGCAATGAATTTATGGCATTCGTAGCATTTTACGCCGTGTTTCTCGTTGTAATCCCGCAAACAGAGTGGTTTACCATCATGCGACATGTACTCGCCATGTAACACTGCACCACATTCACTTAAATTATGCTGACTTATGAAAAAGCTTTTTCAACGCGTCATACACTGGCTTGAGGGTACCTACATACTTCATAAAGCCGATCCTTATGAAACAGATATCCGAAACGTCAAATATCAGAGACCTTATAACGCTTATAAGCGCGATATAGATAGTAGATCGAGGGTCTGCGGCGTGCGTTGGGGCTCCCCTCTCGAATGCCGATTTTTCGTAGTTCGGCCCTATCTCAGCTTTCTCGCACATTTTTCTATTTGAGTTGCTTTCTTCCTTTAGGTTGTGCCAAAGTTTTTAGCAGCCGGCAGCAAGGGACCAGAAATGAACTAATCCCAACCAAAATGCTATTTGACGCGACGCCGCAGTGTAACCGCCGCGCACCTCAATCACAATCCTTATTACGCTGAGCGTTTAAGGGATTGGCCCACTAAATTGACCAATCCTCAGAAGTATGGAGACCTTCATAAGGTGCACAGTCAAATGTTCAATAACACATTCACTTGTCTCACATCTTGGAACACCCACTACATTTTCATTTGCACCAGTACTATGAGTCACTCTTAGTTTAAAACTTTCAAACTCGCATGTCATCAAGAGATCCAAACTGAAGGTAAAAAATATAGTTACACACCTGCATTTGAAACAATACACGTGCCAAGACAGTCCGAGGGCTAGAAGTACCTGGCCAGAGTGAAGTGGTTGATCACAGGCTGCGCAGTCAGCTGAAATTAAAGCAAATAGATAGATACAGAGATAGATGGATGGCTAAAATCAGTCTAATGCCTGGCAGATTGAG